TTTAAGCACACAGTGCTATGCTAGTAAGTGTAGTTGCATTGTGGGAAACACCCAGAACATTTTCATTTTCCCCAGCTAGACTCTGAACGCATTAAACATGAATTCTCCATTTTGATTTTCCTCAACCACTATTCTTCTTTCTCTCTACAAATTTGATAATTCCAGGCACCTTTTATATCTAGAATCAGATACTGTCTGTCCTTTTGTGACTGGCTTATTTTACCTTGCACAATCTTTCAGTTCCATCTCTGCAGCAGCATGCTACTGTTTCCACAGAACAACACTGCCTTTACATTCCCATTAACAGTTTCTTCACATCCTTGCATTTCTCTGTGTATCTCCCCCTCTCTCATAGTCAGCCTAAAGTTGTGAGGTGATACCTCTTTGTGGTTTTAATTTGCATTTTCCTAAGTATTACTGATATTGAGCATCTTTTCATATGCTAATTGAGAAATATCTAAGTTCTTTACCTATTTTCTACTTCTTACCTATTTTCTATTTTTTTGGTTCCTGATTTTCAGCTCTTTGTATATTCTGGTTATTGATGCTTATCAGATGTATGATTTGCAAAGTTTCTCTCCCATTGTGTTGCTGCCTTTCCCCAACTCTGTTATTCTTAGAGTTGCAAAAGTTTTTAATTGTGGTGAGGTCTGGTTAATGTATTTTGTGTTTGTTGCTATGATTTTGATGTCAGATCAAAAAGGTCATTTCCAAATTCCCTCATGCTTTCTTCTGAGTCTTAAAGTTTTTAGTTTTACATTAGGTATTTGATCTTTTTTTGCGGCTAAGGATCAAACCCAGGGCCTCGTGCATGTTAGGCAAGTGCTATGTCACTGAACTATATTGCCAGCCCTTTTGAAAATTTATTTTGAGGCACTCTCAACTACGTTGCCCATGCTGTACTTGAACTTGTAGTCTTTCTTCTTTTGCCTTTGAGTGGCTGGCATTGCATCTGTCACCACCATGCCTAGCTCTTTGATACCTTTTCAGTTAGTTTTTAGATATTGTCTAAGACAAAGGTCCAACTTTATCTTCGTAGGGGTGAGGTGGGGCTGTAGTTATCCAGGTTCCCCAGCACCACTTGTTGAAAAGACTGTCCTTTTTCCATTGAGTGGTCTTGACACCTGTCAAAAATTGACTACGGGGCTAGAGAGATGGCTCAGCGGTTAAGAACACTGACTGTTCTTGCAGAAGACCCGGGTTCATATCCCAGCACCCACATGGCAGCTAACAACTGTCCATAACTCCAGTTCCAG